ATTTTATGTGCCGGTTCACTTGAATACGTGTGAAATATTGATCACTTGAAAATGGTGAAATCCTGTTGGAAGCCATCTGTTGAGGGTGATTCTCGCGGCGGTGTTGATGGTTTGTTGTGGTATAAAGATTTGGAGCAACATGTTTATGGGGAATTCTCAATGGCTGTGATTCAAGCCAACTCGAATCAGGGCCGTTGAGTTCGAGTAGTTCTGGTCCCTATGGGACTTTCATCGGTGTATATGATGGACTTGGTGGAGCAGAGGCTTCCCGCTTCCTCAATGACAGCCTGTTCTGCAATCTGAAGTGTACGTTTCCTCTTAAACTTTTTTCTATTCCTTCAATTCGAATTTGGGACTAGGCAATTACTTTTCCTCATGCATTTCCCTATTTCTTTCTGAGTTTGACCCTTTTAGGCACTTACAATGAAATTAATATCATCAGATTAGTAAAACTGCAGTATCATGTCCAAAATGGCGGGGATTACTCTGAGTGCTGGGAGTTCAATCCTAGTTTCTCCAAGCATAGGTTTTGGTAGTGGTTGATACAATTTACTCCAATAGGTGCCAGTGATATTTTTTCGTCATTTTAAATTTGATGGCCAAATGCTTATTCTGTTTCCCTTGACATTTCTTATGCAGCATTTGCGTCTGAGCATCAAGAAATATCAATAAATGTTCTCAGAAAGGCTTTCTGGGTAACAGAAGAGAACTTTCTTTCCCTTGTGAGGATACAGTGGGTTGGTAAGCGACAAATGGCGTCAGTGGGATCATGCTGTTTTACAGGAGTGATTTGCCATGGACAGCTATACTTTGCAAACGTTGGTGATTCCAGATTAGTCTTAGGCCGATCAGGAAGACGAACCAAGGAAGTTATAGCAATGAAATTATCTACAGAACATAATGCAGGTATAGATGCTGTCAGAGAAGAGCTTCGGTCATTGCATCCGCATGATCCACAGATTGTTGTGATGAAACGCAAAGTTTGGCGTGTAAAGGGCAGGATACAGGTTATATTCTATTCTTTCTTTCTTCATCCTCTTTGTTCTGGAAAAAGTTGACGTAGCTTGACTGAAAATGAATTCATTTGTCTGTTCTTAATTTCTGCCTCCTTATCTTTGCAGATTTCAATATCCATTGGTGATGCATATCTGAAGAAGGCAGAGTTCAACAAAGAGCCTCTCCCGCCTAAATTTAGACTGCCTGAATCCTTCCAAAAGCCGATACTTAGTGCAGAGCCATCATTTTTTAATACACAAACTCCACCCTCACGATCAATTTCTCATATTTGCTTCTGATGGTCTATGGGAACACCTTAGCAACGAGGAGGCTGTCAAAATCGTCCACACTAGTCCACGAAATGTAAGTATCCAAACAACTGTGGCATGATATGATTGATAATGTTACTCTCCAGCTTGTTGAGCACGGCTTTAGTCTTTTCTTTTGATTCCCTTTGAATGCAGGGAATTGCCAGGAGACTTGTTAAAGCTGCACTTAAGGAAGCAGCAAAGAAAAGAGAAATGAGATACTCAGACCTGAAAAAGATTGATAGAGGGGTAAGGAGACATTTTCATGATGATATCACAGTCGTACTTGTGCTTCTAGATCACCATTTGATCCATGTGAACTCCTTCTACAACTCTCTATTATCGATAAAAGGTGGAAAACGACTCCCTGCGACTGCCGTTAGCGATAAGAGTTAAATTTCGTAAACTTCTGCTCACTTGCCACACAAAGACTGGAGTGAAAAACAAAAAATACAATAAAATTGATCATTGTACCACATTGGGCCTTAATATATACACACTAATTTTTTTAGGAAGCATTTAGTATGAAGTGATCATTTAAAAAATCATCGTGATTTACCTATGGTAATTAAATTATTGTATTTGATAAGTATTTGATGATTTTACGTAATAATGATCTTAGATCATTAAAAATGATCATATTACTGTTTTGAAAGATGATATAATTCTCATACAAAAGAGTGTAAAATTTTTATCATTAAAGTGATATGTAAAATTAGTAATAGTCAATTTTATTTATTTAATATATGAATTAAAAATTTATACTTTAAAATTATAATTATTTTATATTATAAATTTTTATATTTTTAAATTAATATTCATTATTATAAATCAAACGTATTTTTTATTTTTTTAATATTTTATATATAATATAATTTTTTATTTTTTTGTTATGAATTTAATATATTGGTTTTATTTTTTAATTCAAATATTTTTACATAATTTATTATAAAAGTAAATTTACTTATTAAGAAATATTTTATTAATTTAATAATTTAATTATATTTTATTACAAAATTTATAAATATTATTAATATTTGACAAATTATTATCTTTATACAACTATAAAATTATTAATTTTTGTAACTATTATAATATTCATGGTTATTTTTATACTTTTAAATATAATATTTTTTATTTTAAGTAATACCAATCATAATAATTATTAATTCTTAAGAATTAATTATTATTAACTAAACAAAATTATTTCAAATCATTAATGTTAAATTCACCTTAGTAATAAGATCACTTCAATAAATTAATCTTACAAAAGATACTAAAAGCTACTCTATTGTAATTATACCCTATTACTTTTTTTTGGTTTTTTTTTATACAATTCTAGTCACTTGAAAATAGAATATTTCATTCAAACTTTCGTTTTTTTCTTTTTTTTTTAATTTTTATGTTGACATGAAAAGGATTTATATTTATAAAAATTGTCACAAAATAAAATAAATATGAGAAAAAAAAAACAAGTTTTTAATAAAAAAAATATTTAAACTTACAAAAATTTTAAAAACTATAACTAAACTTCTTTCTAGAAAATGGTCATAAGTATCTTTATTGTTATACATATTAATATATCAGTGGTTATAAAAATTTGTGTTATCATTTGAGTCAAAAGAAAATGAAAATGGTGTTGATAAAAAAAAAAAAAGTCGCAAAATATGCACTATGGATAATGGATGCCACAAATTGTTCATCTGAAACTTCTTAGGGATCTCCTAGCCAAGCAGCCCAGATCATGATATTTAATATATCTTGTCTGTCCATTTTAATTTGATGGACCAAACTTTGATTTTTTAATTAAGTTTAAACATTTTTCCAAATTTTTATAAGTTAAAAAAGGTTTTTACTAAAAACCATATTTCCTTTTTTGTTAATCTATATCATCGAGACATTTTTTAAAAATATATATAATAATGTGAAAATTATTAAAAATATAAGTATAAATATTTTCCATGCCAATATGACATAAAAAAAAAAAGAAATTAAATAAAATATTCTATTTTAATTACTAGACAACTAGAATTACATAAAAATGTTATAAAATGATAAAATTGCAAAAAAAAAATATAAATAGATAGTACAATTATATATTTGCATCATTTATAAAAAAAAGAAAACTAAAAAAGAAGTGCAAAATAAAAGAGAAAATAATAATTTCTCATGCTAGAGAAAATAGGGATTTTAAAAGAAAAAATTGAAGATAATTTATCAAAATTTATTTTCACTTAAAAGCAACATGAGAATAAGTGAATTATATTTTCTTGCCTCACTTTAAAATTATCTAACTTATGATTCGATAAAATTAACCCAAGTGAGATTAAAATAAAATTGATTACTATAATAATAAAATTAAAATCAATACTAGAACATGAAATATAAAAGTAAAAGTGACAATAAAATAAATTATATTAAAAAGATTATATATTAAATACATTGAATTAAAAGTTATATGCAATAAAAATTTTAAATTATTTAATATTTATAAAATTATACTAAATTAACAAAACTATTTCACAATTTTTTTAAAAAAATCATAATAAAAACAAAAAAGAAGTAAAAAAATAAAATCAAAATCAAAATAAGAGTAAATAAAGGTTAAATTTTTAAAAAAATAAAAAAATCAAAATAAGAAATAATAAGAATAAAAATAATAAGGGTTAAAAGGTGAAAACCCAATATAATATATATATATATATATATATATATATATATATATAAGACCGATTGACCACTACAACCCAAATTGCCAGTGATCGACTGACGTTAAACGTGCTGACCGGTTGCATCCGAGGCCGATTGCATCTAATCGGATGCAACCTTGCCAGTGATCACCTGACGTTAAAAGTACTGACCGATTGCATCCAATCGAAAGCAACCTGCATTTGCCACGCACACTCAACCGCTGCAGCAGTGGAATCTATATGGGGCCTTAACCATGGAAACCATCTCTATCCTCGCTTGCAAATTCCAATTATGCATATTTCCTACTTCCTACCATCATACAATCCACTGAAAATAACTTTCACTTTTAATTTTACCACTTTTACTGTCTATCCTTCTGTCTTCTCCTCTTTTCCTACCAAGAAAGCCTAATAAACTTCTGTTTTCAGTAAACACCAATCAACTCAACTAAAATATGAACAGAGATAATTACAAGAAGTTTAAAGAGAATGTTTGATTTTCTGATTCCCCCAATCATGTTTAACCGGTCTTCCATACAAAAACATCCAACCAAACGACAAATTTCAAAAAAGCTAAGTGTTGTTAATTTGTTGTAACACTTCAACTTTAGATGAAGAAAGAAATTAAAAAAAAAAAACAAAAACAAAAATATTACATGACTAAACAACAACCCGAGGAAACATTAAACAACCTTCACTCCCAGTATAATTACCTTGCAGATCAGCCAATTCAACCGGTGAGACCAAGCGAAGCTAGCAATCACCTTGAAGGGCAGTGTTCACTCATCTCAAATACAAACCAGAAAAATCAGATATTCTTAAGTAAGAGACTCAGAAAAAGTTTTAGCTTTTGGATCACATAATCTCATTTTTGAAAAGTCCAATACAAATCTTCAGATTATAAAACCATTCCCAATTTTCAACATTTCCCTCATGATCAAATGCTGAACAGCAGTAGTAACATATCCACAACAACATTGCAATAGGAACTAACTAATTAAGTTAAAAATTAATGCCATTTGAGCCATTAGTATCATTACACATAGCATAAATATGCATACAAACATGCAAACGCATGCATGCAAGCCTGCACACAAGCAAGTGAATAAACATGACATGCCTAACAAATGGTTTTATTTCCATTTTTTTTTAAATAAAAGGAAAAATGTCAAATCTATTTAAAAGTAACAAAACTAACAAGATGACTGCCAGAGATCGAGCGAATAAAAACAATCTAAAGATAAGACCCCTTACAAACTCCCACACTACATTCTTACTAATAATTTTTTAATCTAAATACAGAAAACAAAGGTATCCATGTTAGCTCAGATCAAAGGCATCTAAGTTATCATTTGTCCTACAGCCAACGCCAAACCACAAACACTCCCCCCTGCCCAAAAAGAAAACCTACAAACTTCAACGTATAAAAACCAGAAAAAGAAATGAAATTCCTCTTGCTTTAAGCTATCTAAAAAAGAAGAGCCCAAGAATTCCTATGAAGCATGTATTGTTTGCTACTTTAACCCATGGAAATAGATGTCAGACTCAACATGAATTACTACTGCTGTCTCACACTTGATCATACTATGCAACTTGGAAGAGTATAAGATGCTGCCCAAACTTAGTCACTGCAAAGAACCTATTCAACTAATTTTTTTAATAGGAAACTACTTACCACTCCATACTTTCTCAATTATATCAAGGGGAAAAGTTGAAAATTTCTAACCATTACTTCAGAATTTCTAAGTCTCTCTGTAAGATTTGAGATAGGTAAACACTACAGGTGGTTGTTGATTCCTCTAGGCCTCACCATGTGAATAGACACCATAACCGTAACTGAAATGAGAAAGAACACCTTCCAAACTGCCCAAAGAAACCCTTAACTGTTTTGGAAATTCATCTGGGGATGAAGGAGTACAGCATCTAAGAATTCCGAGGTTGGAAAGAAAACATAATAAAGAAGCCGTTGAGGGAATCACAAGCTGTTAGAAAACTAGACCTGACAACGAAAAGAAGAGAATAATGCAAAATTTAAGTAATTGATAATAATATGAATAGGCCCATTTAAACAAGTATATTTGGGTATATAGTTGTGTGTGTGCATATATATATATATATATATGCACAAGATTTTAGCATTGTACATCTCCAATTATACCTTGCAAGCTATACTACATGGGCAATTTCCATTTAAAGTCCTCCACCAGCCTTTCCAGCAATAGGAGCCTCCTGAAAAGAAGGGTTTATAAAGATCAATATCCCAGACAGCACATTTAAAACAGTTGGTTTTCTCCTATCCAAGAAATCTGCCAGAGAAACAACCAATCAAAGCCTTACTGGTTCAATATTTCCCTTGCCATTCACCTTGGATAAAGAATTTGATGGAGGATTCGAAAACCTGGAAAGACCAGAAAAAAAATCAAATTTTGATCTCAACATACATAAATGTTTTCGATAAAGATATATGAAGGCATTTATAGATCTCTAACATGTATGAAACAGTTCTTTAGCAGTGAAACATACCTGATTGCCCTTGCTTTTCTCTTTTCTTCTTCCACTGTATCAGATTTGGAAAATGGTGCAAATCTGGCAAGACGAGCTTTCTTTTTTGCCTCCTCATCAGTAGCGGTAGAGGGTACAGCAAGCCCAAACCTAAGAAACCACAAAAAAAAAACTCTAAAAAACTGACTAAATGCAACTCCAATCATATTATCACTGGATAAAGGCAGTAAGGAACAAAAACCTCTCTGCTCTAGCCTTCCTCTTCAGCTCCTCTGATTGCTTAGATGCTTCTGATCCATTTGAGCTGGGTGCAGTGCCAAACCTGCAATATGATTGGTCCACAGCCAAAAAGTTAGAAACACAAGGAAAAGTCAAGAAATGAGGTTCAACACCCACAACTACAGCTTTGCCATCAACCAAAACCCTTCCAGTACAAATTGATAATTAGCCATAGAATTTCCTTCTAATAATATAAAAGATAAATCTAAGGTAAGATTCGCACTATCATGCGAAGCTGTCCATGCCAAACGCGCAGGCATGCTTGGTAAGGCAACTAGGTAAATTTATGAAGGGGTTAGACTCATTTCTTGAGAACTAACGGATCAATTGATTAATTAAGACACAATGATTTTGAAAATTATGAGCTGTTAAGAGATTCTAGACAATATAGAACGAGAATATAAACTTGAGAGATGAATTCAGAGCATTATCATCTATGGTTCTCAGCACATTAAGAATAAAAAATTAGCATTTAGAGAAAATCATCAGAATAGTTCCAGAAATAAATCAAAATAAAATAAACAATTTCTTCTCTCGTCTTTACAAATTCCCATCAACTAATTGTAAACCACAAAGAAAAACCCTAAATAACCTATAACACTAAATATTTACAAAGGAAAAAGGGAAAAGAAAAGAAGTTACCTCTCAGCCCTAGTATTACGCTTCTCTTGCTCAGACAACTGGACCGGTACGCCGAACCGCTCAGCTCGGCGAATCTTCTTCTGAATATCGTTAACGGGACCGCCGCTATCTCCAGCGACCGAGCCCACATTAGTCTCGGAGGTCTTGGAACCCTCGCTCTCCTTTACAGATATTTCAGAAACGGAAAGAGTACCAGTGGCAGGATGATCTGACTTATCCGTGGAATGTGAGGCTGGGGCCACAGTCTTCTTAGGGTTTGGTTCTGCCGATGAATTGGCGGCGGATGCGACGGGTGTTGGAGTGGTGGTGGTGATGGAGGTTGCGGTAGCGACGGACTTCTCGGTGTTGGTTGCCATCGGAGTGGTATCTAGGTAGGATTATGTGAAGAGTACAAACCGCGGCTTAAGAGCGTGAGGCGGTGAGAAGCGTTCTCTCTTCTTCTTTTCCTTTTTTCTTCTAATATTTTTAGATTAGTGAATGCTTTTGAAAGGAAAGCAAAAGAAAATAAGGCCAGAGGGTGGCCCATATATGAAGGCGCTGGGAGGTTTCTTTTATTTTTCTTTGTAAGATTCTTTTGAGGGTTGATTTTTTTGTTGGCCACAGCACTAACCCGGCCCTGTTTTTAATTCTTTTCTATACTTGTTTTGTTGGCATTTTTTACTATGAGAAAATCATCTCGTTTTTCTTTTTACACCTTTTTTTTAATTTTTTAAATAAAATTACTTAAATATTTTTTTCACAAGTGTTTCAAATATAATTTTTTAAAAATACATTTATGAAAAGTGTAATAACTTTTCATAATGCATTTTTAAAAAGTTATTACACTTTTTGAAAATGTATTTTAATAAATTTTTATAAATTACAAAAAAATTTTGTTAAAATTTTTATAAATTAATATAATGAAAAAAATTATTATTGGAAAAATTATAAATTTTAAAATTAATAAAAAAATTTCTTTTATTATTTTGATCTTAGAAAAAGAAAAAAAATTATAAGGTCCTAATTAAATATTTTAACTCTTAATATCACAAAGGGTGATAAAAAAATATCATATCTTATCAACATATAAGAGCTTAAATTATTTAAAATTATATAAGTAATATTATTAAATACTACATATTTTTGTCAAAATTTAATATGCTAATTAAAAAAAATTCATCGTGATAAGTAAATAAAAAGACTTTTCAAAAAGATTAGTTTAGTTAGAGTTATTATAAAATTTTATAATCAATACAAAAATTTATCAAAAAATAATAAATTTTAAATTTATAAAAAAAATTACAATTATTATTTATCTTTAATTTAATTTGGATCTCATAAGATTTTATTTTTTTATAATATCAAAGTATTATATATAAATTTTTTATTAATTTTAAAATTTATGATTTTTTAATGGTAATTTTTTATTACACTAATTCAAAAAATTTTAACAAAATTCTTTTTTTTTTTGTAATTTTTCACAAACTTTCAATCATTCTACTCTCGGAAATAATGCTTTTTTTAGAAGTATTATGACTTTTTAAAAATATATTTTCGAGAAGTACTACAACTTTTCAAAACACATATAAGAAAGATATTTAAATAATTTTACTTACAAAAAAATTTAAAAAAAAAGAGATGTAGAGAGAAAAAATATGGGATGCATGTAGTGGCTCTTTTTTTTTTTAGATTAATACCATGAATTACTTTAAACTATAATAAAATATTAAATTGTTTTTGAATTTTAAAATCTATCATATAGTATCTGAACTAAAAATTTATTAACTAATGTGATATTTAAATAATTATTTATTTGTTATATGATATCATTTGAAGTTAGTTACGTTAAAAATAAGTATTATATTAATTAATAAATTTATAATTTAAATATCATATTAGAAATTTTTAAAATTCAAGCATTGTATTAAATTTTTTACTATTAGAATTCATTCATCACATTAGTTTTTTTAACTCAAATATGAATATTTTCTTTTAATATTTCAATAATTTAAAGTGAGTAAAAGAGTAATTATATTGATAGAAGCACAATTACTTGTAATTAAAAATTGAAAGTTTTATAATATTAAATAATGAAACTATTACTTTATCTTTTTATGTTAAAAAACATATATATAATTCATAAAAAAAAATGAATTATAAATATTAAAATTTAAACTTTAAATTTTTTGGATGTAAATTTTTTACCAAAATGAGTGCACATTTACTTGCAATCAAAATTGAAATTTATATGATATTAAATAATAAAGTTACTATCTTATCATTTTCTAATATAAAAAAAATTATAGTTTGGAGATAAAAAAATGAGTTATAAATGTTAACATTTGAAACTCAAACATGTTGGATGATATTTTTTAAAAATAATTATATGAATTAATTAAATTAAAATTTGAATTTTATATTACCTTTTCTATCATTAATGAAACTTATATTTTATCTTAACTTGACATAGTTTGATGATATAAGGTCATTTTTATTTAAAGTTCAACAAATTAGCATGCAAGGACATCTTAAGGGAATATTTGGTGTAAGATAATGATAGTATAGAATTAAATTAGATAATAGCATCATATTTTATGTTAGGTTAAAAAAATTAAAAATATATGATGATTTTTATTTATCAACATGTTTATTATGTGCAAAATTAAGAATAAGATAAGATGATTTTTTTTTATTGATCTAAATATATCCTTTTTTTTTAAGTAAATATAATTTAAATTAAAATTTGATTTGTTGATTTTCATGGGGTTTTGATTAAGATGAAACCAAACTCATGAGATCAATCTTCATATAATGCTTATACATTAAAAAAAAAAAAAACTTTTTTTTTTTTAATTTGCTTGAAGATTATAAGTTGTATAGTGCAAGTTGATACATAAGGTTAAGGGACTAAACATTGCTTTACAATTGAAGTTTTTAAAGCATAAATTCACTTTTGTAGTTGATGACATGATATAATCCTCATTGCAACAGTTCAATTTAATAGTTATTTCTAAATGAGTGTAAAATGTAAGTAATTTTTTTTTTACGAAAAGCAAATATTTTTTAAACGAGTGTAAAATAGTTACTAACTAAAAACATAAGAACATAAATATCTTAATATTTTATTATTTTGCTTTGACTTTGGGTTTTAAGTAAAACTAGACATTAACTCGTATTACACTGCAGAAATGATAGGACATAAATATTTTATTATCAAATGCTACATTATTAAAGTAATGAATTACTAAGAGAGAGAAAAAGTGAAAAAAGCAAAAAACTAAATAAAAGATTGAAGTTTTTAAATAATTATTGTGTTTTAAAATCATAATCTAAAAGCAAGGCATTCTAAAGTTAGGAATAAAAAGAATCCTAAACAATAAAAAAAAAAAGAAAATAAGATATTAACTGTTGATATCTTAAACAACCAGCCTTTGTTAACAATAAAAAAAGTAATAGGCTTTAGTAGTAAGTAACAGGCAAAGGCCATGATGGTTGAGAAAGCAAAGAAAGCAACAGATATGGCGAAACATAGCACAGAATATGTAACAGAGAATGCTAAAGAAGGAAAAGATGCTATCGTGGAAAAGATAAGAGAGTACACAGATTATACTGCTAGAAAGGTAAAAGAAAGTAAGGATGCCACTGTTAGTAGGCTTGGGGAGTTAAAAGATTGCTGCTGATGTTGTTAGAAGAGCTATGGATTTCCTTACTATAAAGACAGAAAAACAAAGCAAAAGGCATCAGTGACTGCAGAGAAAACCAAGGTGATTAATCTTATTGGCTAAATACTTAGTTTGGGATTAAACATTACTTAATTTAAGATTAAACATTTTATTTTATATAAATAAAAATCAAACGTTATAAAAATTTACAATTAAAGATATATTTAAATAAAAATTTGCGCGTGTCTCTTACGAGTGTGCTTTAATATTGATTTATACCTAAAATTAAAAAAAAAAAGTAAAAATGTCAGTTTTATAAGAACATAACAACTTTTCTTTCTTCTTTCTTTTCAGATTTTTTTTTGTCCTAACTTCAGATTTTTCTCCCTTCAACTCTTGTTTCTTTATAAAGCCTCCCGTCGTTCTATTCTTGTAGAAGGATATCTTTCTTTTTCATTCAATTTTTATTCTTTTTTTTTTTTTCTCTATTCAACTCTTCTCTCTTAGTATTTACCTTTTCTCATTAAATGTAACTCCTTTATTCACAATACAAAAAAAGTAAAAATTTTAAACCGTATCTTGGTGAATTGCTAGAAGCTTGTCCATGCCTAATCTTTGCCAAAATTTGAAATTTTGGAAGAATCTTTTTTGTAATTTTATCATTGATAAGTTGGAAATGGAAAAGGTGTCTCAAAGAAATGAATTAAGAGGGGGTGAGGGTTATGAAGTGTGCCTATTTTTTTGTTAAAATTGGGTTTATGATCCTTAAGCTCTATAATTGGGATGATATTAGATCATTGGTTTAAGTTTTTTGTCTTTTTCATACATGTTTTTTCAAAATTTCTAGACAAATAAAAATTTATGTGGTTTAGTTGTGGGTTTTTAAGGTGGTTGCAAAATTTGATAGCAGTGTAAAAAATGGTCTAGTTGTTGAAACAGACTCAATGGTTGTCCTAAGTTGGATTAAGAATGATAAGGAAAAACCTTGGAGCCTGCACCATATTTCATGGAAATTGAGTTCCTATTGAAGGCAATGGAGAATGTTAAGTTTTCCAAAGTACCAAGAGAGGCAAATCGCATGGCAGATGCATAGACTGAGGCTAGGGTTGACAGATTAGAGAATTTCATGGCCTGGTGGTGAGTAAACTATCCAACTTTGTTAGTTAAGATTTGGGATTTGGGTATTTGGCTGTACTGCAAGTGGTATTTGGGGGTTTGTTGTAATCATCCGGTTATGTTTGGTTGTACTGCAAGTGGTGTATTATGGAATGTGCTACTATAGTTCTTAATGTGCTATTGTAATCATCTAGTTTCATAATGAATAAAACCTTGGCTCAGCAAAAAAAAAAAGAAGAAAGCTATGGGTTTTTTAATTTCATGGGTATTATAATTTGATTGGTATATATATATTTTTTGTATAGATTAATATTGAGTAATTGAAAATTTAATAATTATGCAGAAAATACCAGAACTTTGAATTTCTATTTTCTTATTTTTTTTATTGTTAAACTGCATTTAAAATAGTAAGAAAGAATGAAATGATTTTTTTTTATTTTTTTAAAATAAATCTCATTTTTTGGATATTTTTAATTTTTTTTATTTAAATTGATACTTAACCACTAAAAAAACGAAACATGGCCATTTTTTTCAATAAACTATTATTTTTATTAGTTAACGATACATGTGCGACATGCAAATACCAATTGTTTCTAGCTAATTCTTTGCAAATGCATACAAAGAAATTCATGCATGCAAACCAAACAATAGAAAATAAAGTCTCACCTGAAAACCTGAACAAACATAAACAAAAAAAGATGAATTTATGTTAGGAAAACCAGCAAAACAAACTTACACTGTTACACAAAACAAAAAAATAAGTATAATTTTTCAAACATAAATAGCTCTTTAATTTCAATCAATGATCCAATGCTTTCCGCAGAAAGGATCAGACTATCATTCTACAAATGTAGGAATATCAACATATTACCAACCTCAATTTGGGTATATGTAAACCAAATAGATTAATCAACTATCTTTTTCAATGTTTTAAGTTTCTATACAACAACAAAGTGTACGATAAGAAAAACAAAGAACACCTCGTGCCTCAAATAGTTGTATAATAGTAGAAAAATACATAATTCTATCTTAATACAAATAAACCATAATCTAATTTTTTTTTTTTACCTTTACGAGAAGGCCCCATTAAAATTGACAATGATTTTACTATTCTTTTAGGCTAGAGTTACAGTTTAACAAAGTGCACCAATCTTCCCTCCGATCTTGATTCTAACTTAAAGAAAATTTTCCAATGAGGCAATTGAGCATAAAATAAAAGTCTATAAGCAATTAAATATATAAACAATAAAATTAATGACGAATAAGCAATTGAGCATATAATCAATTAGATCAAAGTTTTTGCTATTGTCACATTTCCTTCTTTTTTAAAATCACAATGAATAAACAAAAAAGAATATAAACATTAAAGTTCAATAGTGATAGAAGTAAAGACGTTTACTTAATTTAATGTCGATCCTATAACAAATAAAAATGCAAAAAGAATGAATAAGCTTCAATTCTTATAAGTTTAAAGTGATAAGAATATAAACATTAAAGTTCATGGTGATACAGGCAACGTGATGGAGAGGCGATGGATCAATCCAACTCATATTGTTGCTATCCCTCTTCTCTTTCTTCTTCCCTTTCCTTTGTTTTTAGTTTTTTAAGGTGTGAATCCTTTAGATCCAGAAGCTTGTGTTTTATTATTTTATTTTTAAATAACAAAGGCCCAGGTCTAAGATCAGTTATAACTAAAAAAAATAAGTCAAGATCTATGATTTAACAATGAAATAAAGAATAAAAAATCGAACCAAAAAAAAATAAAGATATTAACTTGGAACCCTAAGTCGAAGAGTAAAAGAATGCAAATTATGAGATTGTAAGGCCATGGATATTATGCTTTCAATGCCCACTTTATCAGTCCTTCAAATTCATCTCCAAAAAAGAATTATGACAACCCCATTTCATCTTTTATTTGGATGTTTATGGAATCCTCTTTTTTTTTACTTTCTAAGATCCTTTTCTCTTCTTTTTGTTTCCCCTCTTTCTTTTTCCTTTCCTTTTTCTTTCTCCCTATGTGTTTTAGTTTTATAGTCTCAGAAAGCTTCTTTTTTCTCCAATTGACAGCTAATAAAACTTAAGAGACAATCAATAAAAAATGACAAATGGCATAAAATTAAGTTAGTTTAGTAAATACTGCAATGAACAGCGTGATTTAAGAGTTTACTTTAAATATATAGTTATAGATGATTTTGATTGAGATTCAATTCGTGAATTTATGTAAAAAACCAAAATAAAATTAAAATGATAAAATAAATTTAGAAGTTGTTTTGATTTTATATCTATTTTTAAGAAATTATTCATTCTTAAAAATAACACTCTCCACATTTTTACTGTTGCAATAATTTAAATTGATATGACAATTTTTCATATTTTATTTTTATTTAAATTAATATATTAAAAAATAAAACATTTAAAAGGGAAAAAAATTTCTTTTTAATGTATGAAATAAAATAAATAGTTAACTAAAAATTTAATATTTAATATATCATTGACGAATATATTTATATTTTAGAATCCAATTATATAATAAATTACAAAATAAAAAACTCATACTGTGAGTAAGAGTAAGATAAAAACGACTTCGTTTTCGAGCAGCTTTCATCGTTTTTGCAACACAACATGACGATTCTAGCTGGACCATAAGAAGTGGACTGTCAGACCGCAGCCAGAGTCCATCACTTCTTGACCATAAAAACCAGCGAACAAAAACAAAACAAAGCCCAGAAGTGGGGAACCAACAAAAAATCAATAATAATTCAATTTCGGTGGATAAGATTTCTTTAGGCCGCTCCCTTAACCCTTTCCCCACACGTTAAAAATTTCCAACCACCATAGTATTGTTATTATTATTATTTTTTAAACTCTTCCTCGGCGAAGCTCGGAACTCAAATTTCCATGGAATTAGCTTCAGCCGTCCACCATGGCGGTGGTATTCGAATCTCTCTAAATTTTGATCTCAGGGTTGCTCCAATCTCGCCTCCGGTTCAATCTCCCAGATGGACCACACTCCGGTTCTTTCATCCTCGTCTCTCCACTTTCCAGTCAGGTCTTCCTCCGCCATACTCATTTTTCACGTGTTAATTATTTAACTAACCTACTCAATTGTGATGATTTAAGTTTTTGCTTTTCCCATTTTAATTTGTGATTAAACTTACAGTTTGCCATAACCGTCGTGGAATGTGTTTCCCAGTTGCTCGCTCCAGGGGAATGGAGCAGGAGGATGATTTGTTAACAGGTAATTTATTTGTTATTAACGTTATGAATTTATATTAATCTCCAAAATGGAAGTATTCGTTTTGTTTCGAATTTCATTGTTGTTGGAGTAAATGATGGATTTATGGGATAAATCTGCAGAAGAGGAGAGGATAGCTTCGTATTCTTATGCTGATTCAAAGGAGAAACTTCTGGAAAATAAAACTTATGCATCGTCTGTTAAAACTGTTGCTTTTTGGGTTAGTTCTCTCAAAATTATTGTTATTTATCCTTTGTTGAATACGGATTGGTTCAGTCCTTCTAAGGATTGAAGACATCTGGGGTATCAATTCCCATGTGTAGGCGTGCGCCGCAGTGGCTTTTGGAGTTGGTTTGGGATTGAAGGAGGGAGTCGGCAAAGCATCAGAATATTTTGCTGGGTATGTAGGATCTGAGTTTTGAAAGTTAACCCGTTAGTCAGTTCCAGTATATCTATCTGACTTGTCATACAGTGCCTTTTTTTACCTGTTTTTCAATGAATTTTATACTTTCGAGCTTGGGTTCTTTTCTGCTATTGCTTTAGTTATTATTTCCTTTCAGGTACATATTGGAGCAAAGTTTGTCAGTAGACAATTTGTTTGTTTTTGTTCTGATTTTCAAGTACTTCAAAGTGCCGCATATGTATCAGGTGCCATACATTTATCTATCTGATTCAGTCAATGCTATGATTCCATATAACTATAGAGCCTAACGCTGTCAAGTTTTAGCATAACATCTCTGGAAAAGACATACACAAGATGAGCCATTCCATGTTAACCCCTTGTAATTGTAAGTTTGTTATGTTCAAAATGTAGAATCGGGTACTTTCATATGGTATAGCTGGTGCAATCATCTTTCGTTTGTTGTTGATACTACTTGGAACAGCCACCCTTCAGGTAGATCATTGTTCATTTATTAAGTTTGCATCTGTTTGCCCATGATCCATACTTTACTGCTTGTCTGGGCTCATGAAGTCTCCTATGCTGTGTTAGAGGTTTGAGGCGGTCAACCTACTACTGGCTGCTATACTCCTATTCTCGTCTTTCAAGGTGCTGTATCTCTACTTATTTGTGTGGCAATCAAATTGCTATTTATCTATTATATTGCGGTGGTATCTTATTTTCCTAATTTATGACAGTTCTGCATGTGCTATGTTGCTTCACTGATTTCATATTCTATTGGCTCATAATTTTGTATCACCATGTGATAGCTATTTGCCAACGAGGAAGATGACACTGATCTGTCTGAGAACTTCATAGTGAAGACATGCCAAAGATTTATCCCTGTCACATGTAATGTTCTACCTTTGTGTTAAATTGCCTTCTACTTTCAGTCTAAGTTCGTATATTTTATTTTGTATATTTTTTTTTACATGTTGACTACTTATGTGCAGACTGCAATCTTTGATGCTTTGTTGAATCATTTGATATAATTTTTTTGCATTGGTTAATGCTTGTGGTTAAGTTTTTTCATTTCTTTTGCTTTTGTCATTGCAGCTAATTATGATGGCAATAGATTTATAACAAAACAGGATGGCATTTGGAAAGTAAGTCATCCTATAACAGTTTTCACATTCTTTATTGTTGCTAACTTTATCACATCATATGTTGTGTGAACTAGCAAAATTTTCTAATTCTGAAACATGTTTAAGTTCCTTTACTGAGTTTTATGAATTCGTCATTCTAACAGGTGTCAAACATTTTGGGCAGGCCACTCCTTTGCTTCTCACGGTAGCAGTTATTGAGCTCAGTGATGTAGCATTTGCTGTAGGTTCTCATGATTCCTCTTCCATGCCTGGCATATGGCCTTTGCTGATTAATGATGCAATGAGGATAATGAAGCTATTTTTTCATTTTCTTTAGGTTGACTCAATACCGGCTGTTTTTGGTGTTACACGGGATCCTTTCATAGTTTTTTCATCTAATCTCTTCGCTGTGTTAGGTAATTCTTTTTGTGTCATCTCAACATAGACTTCTCTCTTTTTCTCATAAAGGAGGATTAATTTACTAAATTGCTGTCCCTTTAAGGTTTAAGGTCACTCTACACACTCATTGCTGAGGGTATGTCAGATTTGGAATACCTACAGGTAAAGTTTTACTCTCTTCACTTGACCTCCTTATGCGTGCCTTAGACTTGATGCAATTAAATATGTTGAACTTCAAATATAAGTTGTACATTGAAGAGAATGTGATGAATCATCATATATAATCAAAGATTATCTGGATCTTTGAGAAATACATTCATGCAAGTTGCAATTCATACAAATTGGTCCATGTCAATGTTCTGTTGACAATTTGTAATTCTCTCACAGACTCTTGTTGTATGTTAAGAAGTGCAAATTCGTAATGACAACTTTTATACTGGTTTTTCTTTTCCCTTCTTTTGGCAGCCTTCCATTGCAATTGTTCTAGGTTTCGTTGGGTGCAAAATGATTCTGGATTTCTTTGGTTTGTACTTTGGATCTGTATGAGTCAATATCTCTTTTATTTTGTAAAAGAAATAAAAAGACAAATTTAAGTTTTAACTGCATTTATGTAGGATTTCATATATCTACAGAGGCGTCACTTGGTTTTGTAGCGATAAGTCTTAGTGCTGGAGTGATGTTGAGTTTAGCAAAGAAGGGCTGACTAGCTGAAATCAGGTTAAGTGCAAGAGCAGGTGATGAGTCTGTATTCCGTATGTTTATTCTTCAGTTTAGACGAGCACTAAAATTGCTGCTAATTCTTTGTTTCTCACCTCTCTTCAACCATCAATAATGAAGATTAATTATAGCTGTTTTATTCCTCCATTCTTTTCTTGCCCTTCATTTTCTGTTCTTGGCTTGAGGTGAAATGAATGTTTTCAGAAAAAGCTTTATAAGAATAAGTTAGTGGGCTTAAATAATTAAAAGATTGCCATTTATAGGAGAATGTTATTGCCAGTAATGCTCTAAGGAATTAAAATGTATCTATGAAGGGCTTAAGCTGAAAAACTGTAGAGATTGAATATGATGGCAAGATTTGGGATTTGGGATTGTCTTTGCTATAATTATAGGATATAGTGCAGGGAATGTTATTTATGGGCCAGCCATATTGTTTCAAGCAGTTTACTTTTGTAAGGGGGACTTGGGCTCTTCTTGAGGAATTAAATTAGCTATCACACTGCAGATTAAAAAAGCTGTTTCGAGTCAGAATCTGCTTCTTTGAAACTCTTAGTGAATGATCCTTTTAGACCTTCTTGCTGGGAAGTTGATGCCCTAATTCAAAGCATCAGGTTATCAAGAACCGCCAATCTTCTTTCAGGTTCTGTCATTTTCATCATGAAGGAAATTGAATGACTGATTGTTTCCTGTAAGGCCAAACTACAGTTATGCCCCATGTGACTTTGATTCTCATTAATTTTGGTTTTTTGTTGTTGAATGTCTCAAAAAGAATAAAAGTAGATTATTTTTCTGTGTTTCATAGTCTATTAACATCTGTAAGTTTGTATTTTACCAAGATTTGCATTGTTAATTGTGGTTAATGGAATGGGGAAATGAAAGAACGATTCTATCCTGTTTTCTCTCTCATCTTCTTCTCCCTTTTCCTTTCCTTCTCACATTTTTTCCTATATGTGGCGATTTGTGGGGTTAGATCTGAACCAGAATTTCTTGGTAAATTGTTTTGAATCAGTTTTCATAAAAGTTTGGTTGTGTGAGTTTGTTGAGCAAGCATGGAGTTGGGGACAACATATGTACTGTTTATACTTTATATGTTCGATTTGCCAGTAATGGATTTGATTATTTTTCCAAATCAGAAATGCAAAATTAAGGTGCATTTTTTCCTCTGTAATATGGCGCTACGAGCAAGGTCTGTTGGCCATAAATCAGCATACAAAAAGCTAAGGAACAGGGATGCATTTGTTAGTTATTGATCACAGTTATAGTTGGTCAGCATGTCACCTTCCTCACAATGACTTTTACTCTTGTTTATTTCAGAAAAGCAGGAATTTTTTAATTGAAGCCACCTTATAAATGTTTGAGGTATTAAATTTGATCCATAGCTAATCGTTTGAGATAGAAAGGTGAAGCCAAAATTTTCAGCATCAGTTCTTAAATGACCCTAACTTCACTTTCAGACCTCTTTAAAGCCATCAGGCTTAAACGATGACATGAATTATGAATGGGATTTAAGATCTACCACCAGGAAGATATACAAAGAGAAAAATTATTACTAAATGAATTAACTCATCAAGGTAAATTAATCACTATTCAATTAATTGATTCTTTATTTGATGGACGATGCTAGGTATATTCTGTTATTCAATTAATTAATATTCTATTTGATGGACGGTGCGAGGTATATTCTGTTATTATTTTATTCAACTAATACACATTTCTCATTTTCGAAGTCATTGGTCTGAGGTGAAAACAAGACAAGGTCAAATTAGTTGCTGACCTTCAAAACAAGCCATGGTAGAAGGAGAAAGTATACTTTACTGCTAAGGTTATTTTAGCCAATTGCTTGATGTTCATGATGTAAGCTTTTGGGTTAGTATTGGATCTATGACTTACTTCCTTGACTTAATCTTTAGGTGCCATCATTGAAACACTACGGCAAAACCATAGGGGAGAGCCTTGATTTGATTAAATACGTGGAAAGCAACTTAGAAGGGCCTTCTCTTTTCCCTCATGCAAGCTCTGCAGTCATTTGTGTCCTTGAGAGCAGCTTCCTTTCCATTTCCAATGTTTATGCACACCAAGTAATGTTATTAAAACATTTCAGGATTCTGCTATAACTTGCATTATGAAATGCTCTTCAGAGATTTGGCGATGGACCATTCTTCCTTGGCCACTTTACGCTTATAAGTTGGTTTTGTAACAATTCTTATAAACCTTCCCTGAAATTGCATTGATTTCATGGTTTTGTTCAACTCAACGTTTAGGATCTTTGATACTCTTTAGATTCAGACCGACTTAGCTTCCATTCCATTTGTTAAAAGATTCTGAATCTCTTAGCAGAAGTGTCTAAGTATGACATAGCAGCTGGGAGGCCTTGTCTAGCAAAATGGATTGAGGTACATTGGAAGACCATATCTGCTTCCAGGAGGGTATGAAATCAAAGTTTTAAGGTTCTTGTTCGACATTAATTTTTGCTAATAAATCCCTCTACAGGAGATGAACAAGATCGATGCCTATAAGCAGAATAAAGTAACCGATCCAAGGGTAGTAATTGAATTTTACCAGAAGCGTTTCCTGGAAAAAAAATGTTGTTGGATTATCTAATATTTTATTCCCTTTTCCCCCTGTTTACCTGAGATAATCATGCAGAAAGTTCTTTTTGACGGGCTCCGCAGTGAATGTTCTAAATAAATAGGTTTGGAAACATTTTTATGGATTTACTCTCTCTCTATACAGAGGGTGTTGTTGAAAATATTTGTAATAAACATATTAGAAGGTTGTTCGCACTTTGCTTAGAAACATTTATGATTAACATTTATGATATCTATCCTAAAAACTGAACTAAAAATTGTTTTCTTTTTGTATCTTTTAAAAAGAAAAGAAACAAAAATCAAAGTTTTTTTTTAAAATGTAGCCGTTTTTTTTCCTAGAACAAAATAATCAAACTTATAAATTAGAAAAGTTAATCATGCTGAAAAGAAAAAGCAAGTTGAGTAAAATCAACCCAAAAAATAATTTTCCATGTGTGGTATAAATATATCATCTGTCTTATGCTAATTTTCATAATTTAATAAATAAAAATGAAAGATGTGAACGAAATAGGATTTTCAAGTCCAAAAACGGAATGAAACATTATCAACATGAATTTCCATCATCTCTGTGATACAACTTCCAAATAAATATTTCAAAAAAAAAATTTAACAATAAAATATGAATTAACAGCTAAGACATCTTAAACATAAATTAATAGATTTTTTTTTTCTAACATCAAATGTAATACCTAAGCTACACATGTTGCTTTAAATATATCTTAAATACACGTATCAACTTAATAAATTTTATATTTAATTTAATCCAAATAATAAAAAAAATGTTAATGACTCTCTAGTTGAATGACAAATGTCGTTTCAATTAGGCTTTAATTAATCCAACTGACTTTTAAATTTGCTAGGGACAACTTTAATGTATTTGTATTGATATGTACAATAATAAAACAATAAATGAAAAACAATTAATGGAGTTGACCTTATACTACAGCTAAGATTATGCTACAGATCTGCTAATATTATAGAACTTATATAGTTGATTTGTTCTGATATATTGCACAGAATTCGAGATGGAATGTAAATCTTTGTTACTCTCCGTAAGTTGAGGTGCGAGAGAGAAAAAACACCCAATCTGGCATGCAGATCTAAAAGTGATTGCTAGAAAGAGTTTTGGTGAATATATCTATCTACCAATTGATGTGAAGAATGCACGTAACGAGTAACCAAAAAGCCTTTGAGCAACTTTTTCATGAACAAAATGATAATTAATTTCAATGTGTTTTGTTTGTGTGAAACAACGGATTATAAGACATGTAAAAAGTACTGATATTGTTATAATATAAAATAGATGGTTAGATGTGGAGATTCACAGTCTGTTTGAGAGATATTATTTATTATGATTCGAAGATCTCACAGTTTTATCTTATAAAAAATATCTCATAAGTTTAAAATTAAGTCTCAACTTATATATCATAATAAATTTTTAAAATATTCTGATATAAAATTAAGATATTACAAACTCTTCTGTTAAGGTTTAACATCCCTATTAAGCTTTACACAAAGTATACAAATCTATCGAATCACACCAAATGTTAGGCAAGCTCAACACAAAGCATACACAGATCACAATATCACACAAAATGTTAAGATTCTAAAGGTAGCTCCTATCATGTAACACATAGCTCTCGTAGAATTCTAGAAGTGGCTCTTACGGTATAATACTTAGCTCCCGTCCAATTAGTGATTGCTTTGATATTATTTGTGGAGATTTGCACCTAACTTTTGAAATATTATTCACTTTGATCCAAAGATTTCATAATTTTTTTTCACAAAAAGTGTCTCACAGATTTAGAATTAAGTCTCAACTTTTATATTATAGCAGATCCATAAAATCTTTTCATATAAGATTGAGATGTAACAAACTTTCTTTGTTAAAGCTCATGTCAAGCCTAACATAAAGCACGTAGATTTATTAAATTACACCAAAAGTTGAGCAAGTTTAACATAAAGTACACACAAATCATATAATCACATTCAATGTTGAGATTCTAGAAGTGGTTCCTACTGTATAACACTTAGTTTTCGTAGGATTTTAGAAGTGGCTCCTATGGTGTAACACTTAATTTTCATCCAACTGGTAATCGCTTTGATACCATTTGTAATGCCTTAATCCCACATTAGGATACTTGGAGTATTTGCTATAATATATATGTAAAGGTTTAAACCTGAATTTGTGAGGCATCTTATGTAGGACAAAACCATGAAACCTTCAAGTTAAAGTAAACAATACTTTGTAGGTTGGATATGGATCTCCATAAATGGGACCTATGAGTTATGAGCCCACCATGTTTCCACTAAATATCTCTTTTATCCTGTAGCACCATCAATTGGGCATATGTCAACTGTTTTTCTGTGAATCTCTAGGTGGTTTTATGGGAGGACATTATTTCACAATATGAACTTGTCTACTATTTTGTATAGTTGAAATTTTAGCTCACATATTATTTGATTATTTAGAACTATATAGTCAGTTCAGTTTTCATAAGGGTGCAAGTTTCAACCTTGATTTATTTAGATTCTTATTTCAGTTTCTTATGACTCTAGTCTTTTCTTTGCCATATGGGCCCACCATGTTTTGTTTTATAAAAGGCGCTCACAAATTTGAGATTAAATCTTAATTTATATATCATAATAGATCTACAGAATCTTTTGATATAAGATTGATGTTTTACAAACTCCTCATATTAAAGCTTTACGTCTTCATTAATCCCAATACAAAACACATAAATCTACTGAATCACATCAAACATTAGGCAAGTCTAACATAAAGTACACACATATTACAGATCACATCAGACGTTAGGATTTTAGAGGTAGCTTTTACCATATAGCACTTAGCTCCAACAAGATTCTAAGGTGGATTTTTCAGCGTAACATTTAGCTCTCATCTAACTGATGACTGCTCTGATACTAGTTGTAGAGATTCATACCTAATTTAGCTTTGATACCATTTGTGAAGACTCGCACTCAATTTAGAGGTATTATCCATTTTGACTTGAAAGTCTCACAATTTTATCCCATAAAAAACGTCTCACAAGTTTAGGATTAAGTTTTAACTTATATATCATAACAAATCCTTAAAATATTCCATTATAAGATTGAGGTGTCACACTGAAATAAGGGAACTCTAAGATCACGTATGAGGCAAATAAGCCAAGTAAGTTCTATGGTTGTTGAAGCAATGGCCCTATATTCAGCTTTTAGATTGGATCCTACAATTATAGTTTGTTGTTTCAAGGCTTCACAAAATAATCAAATTTGAACCAAGAAGTATTGCATAATCGGTGATAGATTAACGAGTTACTGAACAACTTACCTAATCATCATAAGAAAAAGCATACAAATCCAAACTATAATCTTTAAGCATGTGTAAACCATGGTTTAAAGTCCCATTGGCATATCTTAGTATCTTTTTTACAATCTAAAAGTGTTTAACAGAAGGTGAATGCATAACTTGATAAATTATGTTGACTACATAGCATAACTTAGGTATTGTAATGGTCAAATTTTGT